CACAGTGCAGGGATACAAACATATTTAGTAATATGTTTTAAAATAGCATTGGACAGTTATTAAAACAAGCAAATCTGGCTGTTATTGTATTAGGAAGTTCTCAGATAGCAGGGTGATGAGAGCCATACAAGTACTTAGGCATACAGAAATGAAAATTACACAAGGGTAAGTTCTGAAGCATAGGCTCCAGTTACCTGGTCTAATTTAACATGTGCGTGTGTATATAACTTGGTTTCCAAACATCATGGTAATTAGACAGTGGAGGTAAGAAATAAACCCAGTATTTCAGTAAGGAATACCACTCCCACCATTAAATTCTCATTGCCCCTTGTTCTGAAATAGGTGGGCAGAATACAATCTCCTCAAAGGAAACTCTCAAGCATAGGATTTGCCTAACAAGAGCAGGTAACTGGTTCATCAGGTTCTGAAATCCTGCCTTCCTTCAGAGGGAGGAAAAGGCTCTCTGAGTCCCTCATTAGATACCTGGACAATATTGCCACATAGACCAATTTTGGAGGCAAGGGCAAAGGAAGAGTTAATAAGAATTCAGACAATCAGTATGAAATTAGATTACCTTTGCTTTATTATACAGTTACAAGAGTAGTAAAAATCAGTCAAAGACATCCAGATATTTTTCTTTACGTACAGGGTTAAAGCTTGGTTTTATCTTGCTACATATAGAGCAGTAACATATATCTGAGTGCCCAAGCATGGTAACTGCTACAGCAGTGGTTTTCAACTGGTGGTCCACGGACTCTCGGGGGTCTGCAGACTATGTCTAAGGGGTCCACGAAAGGTTGTTATAACCATAGAACAGTGTTTTTCAACCTGGGGTCCGCAGACTATGTCTAAGATTTCCAAAGGGGTCCACACCTCCATTTGAAATTTAGTGGCCCACAGAGGAAAAAAAAGTGTAAAACCACCGTGCTGTAGCATACAACAGACAAAGGTCCAAATCCCATCTGCCCCTTCTGTTGCTACTAGCTTTGTATTCATACATGAAAGTTAATCCAGAATAAGGTAGGGTGTGTGTGAATTTAAAGTGGATTAACTCTCTATATAGATACTTATTCCAGAATAAGCATGCCTTTTTCATGTTTAAACTAATACAGAACAAGGTACACTTATTCTGGAATAAGTGCATCTAGACATGAAGTTAATCAGGAATAGTTAACCCACAGTAAACTGCAGTGTTGTTGTAGCCATATTGGTCCCTGGATATTAGACAGGCAAGATGGGTGAGGTAGTCTCTTTTATTGGATCAACTTTTGCTGATGAAAAAGACAACCTTTCAAGTTTACACAGAGCTATTCTTCAGGTCTGGGAAAGGTACTGAGAGTGTTATAGCTAAATACAAGGGTGGAACAGATAAGGAGTTAACACATGTTGCAAGAGACCATTCAAAGTGAAGTGGGCAGTTAACACCACTACAGTCACAGGACACAAGAATTAGTGGTTTACAGATAGTTATAATGAGCCACTGTAACTTCACATCCTATCTTATTCCGGATTAATTTTCACATGTGCAAACTCAAATACCATAACAGTGCACAAGACCATGTCCCGGGACACTTTAGTGCACTGTGGAATCATGGTGTATACAAAACCAAGAATGTTGTGAACATGTCTGGAAACTATTATAGTAGAACCTCAGAGTTACATACACCTTAGGAATGGAGATTGTTCATAACTCAGAAATGTTCCAGAGAGGTAGCCGTGTTAGTCAGCAAAAAGAACGAGGAGTATTTGTGGCACCTTAGAGACTAACCAATTTATTTGAGCATAAGCTTTCATGGGCTAAAGCCCATTTCATTAGATACTTGCAGTGGAAAATACAGTAGGAATATATACACACACACACACACCATGAAAAAATGGGTGTTGACATACCAACTCTAATGAGATTAATTGATTAAGGTGGGCTATTATCAGCAGGAGAAAAAAAACTTTTGTAGTGATAATCAGGATGGCCCATTTCAAACAGTTGACAAGAAGGTGTGAGTAACAGTAGGGGGAAAATTAGCATGGGGAAATAGTTTAGTTTGTGTAATTACCAGGGCCGGCGCAACCCATTAGGCGACCTAGGCAGTCGCCTAGGGCGCTAACATTTGTGGGGCGGCGACCGAATCTTCCGCTGCCTCTGTCGGGGGCGGCATTTCGGGAGCGGGACCTTCCGCCACCTAGGGCGACAAAAAAGCTGGCGGCGCTCCTGGTAATGACTCATCCACTCACAGTCTTTATTCAAGCCTAATTTAATGGTGCAAATTAATTCCAGTTCTGCAGTTTCTCCTTGGAGTCTGTTTTTGAAGTTTTTTTGTTGAATAATTGAAGTGGGCTTTAGCCCACAAAAGCTTACGCTCAAATAAATCTGTTAGTCTCTAAGGTGCCACAAGAACTCCTAGTTCTTTTTTCAGAAATGTTCGTAACTCAGAACAAAACATTACGGTTGTTCTTTCAAAAGTTTACAACTGCACATTGACTTAATACAGCTTTGAAACTTTACTATGACAGAAGAAAAATGCTCCTTTCCTCTTTTTTTAGTTCACGTTTAACACTGTACGGTATTTGCTTTTTTTTTTTTTATTTTTTGTCTCTGCTGCTGCCTGATTGTGTACTTCCAGTTCCAAATGAGGTGTGTTGTTGACTGGTCAGTTTGTAACTCTGGTGTTTCTAACTCTGAGGTTCTACCTTATTCCCAATTTTGTAGCTGGGCCAATAATGGGGCATACAGTATTTATCTAGGGTTGCAGTGAAGGAAAACACTTGGATGGGAGGACACCTGAATGAATGTGGCAGAGTTTGGGCTCATAAGACAGGATCACTGCTCTGAAGACTTAACAACAAACTGGATTTGGATGTGAAATGAAGGCATGAAACATGGGGGGGGGGTACAACTACAAATAAAGAGAGCACTGGGAGGAAGAGGGGTGTCAACAGGGATTTGCAGGGCTGGGAGGTCGCATAGGCACAAGAGAAGCTGCAGGATTGCAAGGCTGGGAGCAATATGGGGTTTGCAGGTGAAATCCTGGGAACATCGGGGTTTTGAAATGAAAAATGAGAGTGGGGGAAGATGTTCACAAAAGATCCCAAGCAGGGCTACAGAGGGATTTGCAAGGCTGGAAGCAGGCCTACTGTGACGGTTCTAGAGATAGGGGATGTGGTGGGAGGTTGCAGGACTAGGAACATCCATGAGGTTTGCAAAGAATACTGGAGAGGGCTAAAAAGCTCAGTGGAGTTTGCAAGGGGCTGCTGGAGATCATGGAGCGGGCAGAAGGGCAGAGTGGAGTTTGTAGCCCCCCTAATCAGGAAGCTGTGGGTGGGCAGTTGCAGGGGATCCTGAGGGGAGAGGAAGGACTGTGAGGGGGATTCAGGGGCTGCGGGAGAGAGAGATGGGAGAGCCTCAGGAGGAGGAGGAAGGCTGCAGGGGGGAGTTTTTGCAGGGGATAAGGGAGGAGGGCTGTAGGGGTATGTTTGCAGGAGATCTGGGCAGACAACAAGGAGGGCTGTGGGAGGGTAGCAGGGGAGATGGAGTTGTAGGAAATCTCAGAGGGGGAAGGATGCAGGAGATCCCAGGGAGGAGTGACAAGCACGAGGGGGTGTGGGAGGTGATTGGGGGGTGGGGGTTTACAGGAGATCTGTGATGGGCAACTGGTGGGGGGAGTTGTATAGAATGGGGGAGGGGGGGGCTGTTACAGGGGATCTTGGACAGGGCAGTGCAGGGGATCCAAGAGGCTGACAGGGGGAGGCTGCAGGGGATTTGGGGGTGGGGGGGGAGTGCATGCCAGGAGGTTTGCAGGAGATCAGGAGTAGCAGGAATTTTGCAGAGGGGGATTTACGGGCGATCTAGGAGGGACTAAGCAGTAGGAAGGAGGATGTTGCAGGGAACCCAGCGGGGAGGGGGTCCAGAGGGTTGGAGGGGAGGATTTTCAGGGGATTTGGGATCCCAGGGAGGTTGCAGAACAGGGCAGCACAGACGGTCCAGGGGCTGTTGCAAAGGATCTGGAGAGACATCGGGGGCGGGAGTTGCAGAGAACCCCAGAGGAAGGTCTGCAGGACAGGGAAATGGATGGGATTAGGGATTTGAGGGGGATCCCAGAGGATGGTATCCAGGAGGAGGTGGGGGTGGGGGGCTGGAGGACAGGGCAGTGCAGAGGATCCAAGGGGTAGGGAGTAGCAGGAGAGGATTCTGGGGGTGCAATGAGGGATGTTGCAGGAGATTCGGGAGGGGGGCAGTCTGCAGGACTGGGTGCAGAGGATCGGGGGGGAGAAGGAGCAAGGGGCTTACAAGGGATTTGGGGGGGGGGGGGGAGGAGCAGGGGAGGAGGGGGGGGAGGGGGGGGGGGGGGGGCAGCAGAGGAGCAGGAGGTGTTGCAGAACACAGCGGTGTAGCGAATCCAACCGGGGAGAAGCAGCAGAGACGCTTCCAGGGGGAGCAGCGGGGGTGTTGCAGGAAGGCGCAGTGCATGGGTCAAGAACCCAAGACGATGTGGCCAGGGACGCCCACCTTTCCCAGGTCCCCTTCTGCACTTTGGGGGTGCGCTCCATTTCCCAAACCCCACCTCATGGGGTCCATAGGCGGGCATTGCAACTTCGGCTCCCGATTGGCCCGCTGCCCCGCCACCAGGCTGAAGCACCACCCTAATACGCTTCAGGAGCACTCCCCAAGACACCGCGCGCCCGTTGGCCCCCCGCGCCATCAGTCAGGGCGGAAGGCACCGCCCCTTCCCTAATACGGCTGTCTCATTGGTGGAGAAGGCTGTGGCTCACAGCTACCGCTCCCTCCCTCTTCTGCGCAGCTGGCACTGGTGCATCGTGCTGCCAGTCATACTACCTTAACCCCGCCCCCGCCCCTCCATTGCCCAGCTAGCCTGTACATCAGATGTCGCGGGCCCGCCCCCTAACCCCTTTCATTCCATACAATGAGCCCCTATTCCCCCCGGGGTCCTCCCGCCCGAACAAACCGATGCCCTAACTCAGCAAGCCTCCCGCCCACCGGGTACCTGGGTACGAAGCGGGTCCGGCACGGCACCGACTCCCCCTTCTCGCAGGCCCTCAGAGCAGACGCCGCTTCTGCGCAACGCCCGCCGCCCGCCAAAACAGCCCCCCCAGCGCGCAGGCGCCTGGGTCCCCACACTGCGCATGCGCGGCCAACGCGCTCCCTCCCCCGTTCGTGTACATATGGGAATTCACTTGGGTTTATCCCAGCGCATGCGCAGATGAGCACTTGCTGACTCGTGCGTCTTTACTCTCTTTTCCGTGACGCTGCCAGGCAGGAGCCCAGGTCCGGACTGTTTCACAGGGTTAATGCTCGCGGGCTAGTGCTAGTGACACAAATCAGGTCATTTAATTATTTCCCCCACAGTAATCGACACTCCCGCCTCACCGAATAATTGACAATATAGCCCGCCAGTCAAACTCAACGTTTGGCAGCAGCAGCCAAACATTGGGAAGTGTAGAGCGTGATCGTCCATCAGCGAACCAATCAGAGATGAGATACAGTCTCTCGCGAGTGGCGCGAGCAAGACAATGGCGGGGGGGGGGGCATGGACGCCCAATGAGATACGTTACTAGGCGGGGCTTAGGCCATCTTAGCCAGTAGACTGCTGCAGGGGGGTAGTTCAAGGATCTCCTCTACCAATGAGGTGTGTTTGCCGGTCGTGGCTATCCAATCGGATGTGTGGGGGCGTGACCCGACCCCTCTGTCCAATGGGAGCACGCGGAGGGCGGAGCACTAGGAGGGGGCGGTGGAGTGAGGCAGCGACGCACTCGTCATTCAGCCCTTTCTGTATCGGCGCCTCACGGAGGAAGCATCGCGCGCGCAGCGGTCTGAGACAGAGGCCTGCACCCCCCCCACCCGCCGCCATGTCCAAGTCTGAGGTGAGCCAAGCCCAGGGACTCCGGCCGCCATCTTCTCCACGCGGCCCTCCCCTGGCTCTGCTGCTCCGGAGCCCTCGGCATGCTTCCGCGGCTCCTTACTGCTTTGGGGGCCTCTTAGACTTCGGTCTAACCTGCAAGGCCCCTGCTTGCGCCCGCGGCGGTCCGCGTACTGCGCGTGCGCCCCCTCAGAATTGGCGCGTGCGCGGCCCTTCTCTCGCCCCATAGGGGCGGCCCTTTCGCGCATGCGCGGCGGGGGCTAGTCTCTGGGCGTGCGCCGGCCTTTGTGCAGCACCAGATCGGAGCTATGGCGGCCGGCCGAGCGGCGCGTGGCGGACATCGTGTGCGCGTGCGTGTCTGCTCGGCTCGCCCTTTCCCCGCGCTAGGCGCCTGTGCTGTGCGGGATGCAAGGCCTCGGGGTGGGGGGCAGGCCCGGGGATCAGTACATCGGGGGGGGGGGGGGTGGGCCGTTGCCCTTTTTCTCAGGGCCCAGAATCAGGAGCTGTGGTTCGCCTGGAAGCCATTGTGCAGTGGAGGTGGCTTCTCCCTCTCTCTCTTCTCCCCCCCCCCCCGGTCAGGTTATTATAATCTCCTTGGGGGGAAGGGAATTCCTGCTCCCCAGGTCTAGATTAGTGCTCCCTTGGGTGGGAGAGAACGGGTATTGTTAGCTCCAGGAGGCTGTTTAATCCTGTTTCCAACTCATGGCTTGTTCTTCCTCTCTAGTCCCCTAAGGAACCTGAGCAGCTGCGCAAGCTCTTCATCGGTGGCCTGAGCTTCGAGACAACAGATGAGAGCCTTCGTGGCCACTTCGAGCAATGGGGCACACTCACCGATTGCGTGGTGAGTGTTCTGGTCCCAAGGCCATCTCTGAAGCACTCTAGGGCTTCTTTTCTTGGGCAGGGCAGCTATGTTACAGTAACTTAGCAGCCTTCAAAAATACTTCTTGCCAAATGGAGTAAAAATGTTTCCTTGCGAGGAGTGGGAAGGGAGCAAATAAACTTGTATGTATTTGATATTAAAACTCAGAAATGGGTGAAGGAATCTCATTCTGTGGCAATACTGGTTTTTGATGCAGTGGGGAGAGATGAAGAATTTTGTTTTTACTTACCAGTTAAGAGTCCTTAAATCACTATTCCTAGATAGTGGAATACTCTACTTGCTGTATGAGTGATGGACCCTCACCACTTGTTGGCTGTATCTTGATCCCGCCCACTGTTTACCCCCCCGCCCCCCATTGGGGACATTGCAGTCTGTATATATTATGTGTGCTGCCCAACACCAAAATACTAACATCCCCCTATATGCTGTATGTTACCCCCAATGATCAATAACTGATGCTTCAAATTTTCTGTATCGTTTATTTTTCAAATATTATCTTATATAGTTGGTCTAGTTGCATACTTAGTGTTGCTCTGAAGGGTTCACTGAACATAAAAATGGCCATATTGGGTTAGACTAATGGTCCATCTAGCCCAGTATCCTGTCTTCCAACAGTGGCTGATATCAAATGCTAGTTTAGCGGAATTAACAGAACAAGGCAATTATCAAGTGATCCATTCTGTCATCTAGTCCCAGATTCTAGTAGTCAGAGGTTTTCAGTAACTTGTAGGACAAAGCCAATGCTAGATAATAACCTTGTATGTTCCTTTGTTCTCATCTGTATGCCACTTTGCTTGTTTCACGTTATTTACTTTGGTCACTAATAGAGATGTGTCATTTCTAGGTAATGAGAGATCCAAATACCAAGCGCTCCAGGGGCTTTGGGTTTGTTACATACTCTACAGTAGAAGAGGTTGATGCTGCCATGAATGCTAGACCGCACAAAGTTGATGGCAGAGTTGTTGAACCAAAGAGGGCCGTATCCAGAGAGGTATGAATTGATGTTTAATCTAATCATGACGTTTCTGTAGACTTAAATGGGCTGTTCACGCACTGGTGATATAGTGTTAAATGGTCCTGTGTGGTTGTGTAGGGAGTGGGATGAGGTTGGGAGTATGGTTTAGCTATAATCAAAGGTTTAAACTGTGAAGAATAGCTCCCCTTCTCTTCAAGGGTTGGGGGAGCAGCACTCCATACACACAAAGCTCCCCCTACATTAATCACGCTGGCTGTAACTGCCAATGCACTGATGCCAGCCAAAACGTGCCCAAAAAAAAAGACATTAGTCAATGGCATAGATCAGGGGTGGGCAAACTATGGCCGGTGGGGCGATTTAATCCGGCCCTCAAGCTCCAGCTGGGGAGTGGGGTCAGGGGCCACTCTACGTGCGAGTGCCGTGGCTCCTGGAAGCTGCGGACATGTCTCTCCTCCGGCTCCTACACTAGGGCAGTCGGGGCTCCATGCACTGCCCCAAGTGCTGTCCCTGCAGCTCCCATTGGCCGGGAACTGCGACCAATGGGAGATGCAGGGCGGTGCTGCTCTGCCTCCACGTAGAAGCCGGAGGGGGGACGTGCCACTGCTTCCCGGAGCTTCTTGAGGTAAGGGCCGCCTAGAGCCTGCACCCCGAGTCCCTCCCGTGCCCCTGCCCTGATCCTCCTCCTGCCCTCTGAACCCCTCAATCCCAGCCCAGAGCACCGTCCACACCTGCCCCATTCTGGAGCCCACACCTCCAGCCAGATCCCTCATCCCCCGCACCCCGGCCCGGAGCACCCTGCACCCTGGACCCCTCATTTCTGGCCCCACCCCCAGAGCTCGCACCCCTCCTTCACTCCAACCATCCCTGGCATAGATGGTACTGAAATTCTTAAAGCAGAACCTTGCCATTAGTCACTTGCTACAATTGATTGTGAAGGGGGACAAAATTTCAGCTGTGCACTAGCCTTTAACTTCTGTTTGCAGTCGTAGTGCACAACTACCACAGTTTTGTATATTGGCTTTCTTTGTTTGAGCCATGAGAGCCTTGAAGTTCAGACCAGTGATTGAGGAGTCCTAAATTTGTACATCTCAGATAATACTTCATATTGCCCTATTCTATCCTGCATAGGACTCTCAGAGGCCTGGAGCTCACCTGACAGTGAAGAAAATCTTTGTTGGTGGGATTAAGGAAGACACAGAGGAGCACCACCTGAGAGACTACTTTGAACAGTATGGCAAAATTGAAGTGATTGAGATCATGACAGACCGTGGCAGTGGCAAGAAGAGAGGCTTTGCGTTCGTCACCTTTGATGACCACGACTCCGTGGACAAGATTGTTAGTAAGTATCCCAGCGAGCCTATTACGCAAAGCTCTGCAAACCAGCAAAGAATTGATAGTATTTGAAAGGGAATTGTCCTTCGCTTAAAATCAGGATGCAGATGTGGATGTAACAGCTAATGACAACCTAGTAATGTCTGATTCTTCCCTTTCAGTTCAGAAATATCACACTGTGAATGGCCACAACTGCGAAGTGAGGAAAGCACTGTCGAAGCAAGAAATGGCCAGCGCTTCATCCAGCCAAAGAGGTGAGTGCCAGTTTCTATAAATCAGTTTGAAATTAATCCAAACGGACCCTTGATAATTAGCTGTGCCATTCACAAACACTGCTCTCTCTTCTAGGTCGCAGTGGCTCTGGGAACTTCAGTGGTGGCGGCGGCCGTGGAGGTGGATTTGGTGGAAATGACAACTTTAACCGTAGCAGCAACTTCAGTGGTCGTGGTAAGTGACTTGAGGGGTCATTCTGACTAAAATTAAAAGGATACTGTCAGGCTAACAAAACTAAAGTTTTAGCCCATAGGTTAACACACCTGCTGCTGCAGTTCTGACTATTGATTTTACTTGTTGATTTGGACATTGGACTAAGTGCAATTCTCCTTTCTTGGCTCTTGCATTCTAACATGGTACAAGGGCTCATTCAGGCAGAGCTTGGAATCCCTGATTCCCTGCAACAGTCTCCATCAATTTATACAGCTGCTTCATTCTGTAAAACTGGCTTACAAAAACGTGTGCCCTGGGCGCCAGCACCTGACAGTGTCCCTTCCCGGATAGACTGAACACAAAGGTTTGTTCTTTTCAGGTGGGTTTGGTGGCAGCCGCGGTGGTGGCTATGGAGGCAGTGGAGACGGCTATAATGGATTTAGCAATGAGGGTAAGGCCAAAGCATAACTTTACTGACATGTCAGCGCCCAGGTTGCCCTGTTTCCGGGCTCAAAGGTGCTATGCCCATGAAGAAGCACTGGTGACGTGAGGAAAGTGACTAAACTCCAATCCCTTGGCCTGGCGGAAAGGCTGATACAAACTGACTACAGCATGGACCCAACTGGATCCATCCAGATAGAATAATTATTGTTAAGCATGTCACATTGATTGGTCACAAATTTTCTACACAAATATATTGATTTACCAAAGTGCATGCTGTGATCAGTTCTTCGGGGAGTTTCTAATTCCATCAGTGAACTGTGGGTTGTGAAATGCTGGAATTCAGCAGTCTTGTTTTTATTTTGTAGGTTATGGTGGTGGCGGCGGCGGTGGCCCTAGCTACTCTGGAGGAAGCAGAGGCTACGGTGGCAGTGGCAACTATGATGGCTATAACAACGGAGGTGGTGGCTTTGGCAGTGGCAGTGGAGGTAAGTATCCCCTCAGTGTCACTAGGGGACCTTGCTCAGAAGTGGACTATTTGGCTTTCAAACAGCAACGCCAGTTCTTTCCGCCGTGCTACAGTTTCATGGCAAAAGCCTTTATTACTAATAGACCGACATGGGACGTAATTTCCTAAGCTATCTCAGCCTCCCCATTACCACATGGTATGTTGCACCTCCTGTTTCCCAAAATTCCGTTCTGTATCGTCTCCAGCCTTGGGCCACCTCTCCCTCCCCTGCCATGTTGCACAGGCAAGAGAACGGCCTCACTCTGGAGACTGCCCTTGAGTTCTCAAAACTGTGCCGCAAAAACTGCCCTTCAGCCAGATGCCCTGCAGAGTGTACTATTGCTGAGAGGGGCAGGCTGTGATTTGGAATGCCTATCGCTTGTTCCACTCCTTAGGAAGCAGCTTTGGAGGTGGCGGAAACTACAATGACTTTGGCAGTTACAACAACCAATCTTCAAACTTTGGCCCTATGAAAGGAGGGAACTTCGGAGGCAGGAGCTCTGGTCCATACAGCAGTGGTGGTGAGTCTTAGAATGAGGGGTCTGTCCTTGTAAAGGGGGGGAGTAGGTGTGAGGGAAGCCAAAGCCAATACCAAGATGCCACACTTGTGATACAAGCTTGAAATCTACCTGCCTAGTGTCTACAATTATCTAGTTTTAACCACAGGAACAGTCACTAGCCCACAGTTAAAAAGCTTTCCTCCTGACATGAAAATCCTTGTCCATTTAACCTCACACAGCGTAGTAAATCAAATGTAATTCTAGTTGAATATCGAACAGGAACAAACTCATGCTTCAGAATATGCTTAATTGCAGACATTTAAACATACAGTTGGGATCAAATGCAGTCCTTTGCAATTGTGGCTTACCTGAATCTAATCCACTGCCCAATTTTGCTGTCAGGTTTGCCAAACCCTCAGTCTTTGTGTTTGCTATAACATGTGGGGTCAGGGCCCTCAGGTGGTTGCGATGTTACTACATGGGGGGTTGTAAGCTGTCAGCCTCCACCCCAAACCCCGCTTTGCCGCCAGCATTTATAATGGTGTTAAATATATAAAAAGTGTTTTTAATTTATAGGGGGGGTCGCACTCGGAGGCTTGCTATCTGAAAGGGGTCACCAGAACAAAAGTTTGAGAACCACTGCTATAACGCCATCTCCAATTGCTCTCTCAGGTGGCTACGGTGGCTCCAGTAGTGGCGGTAGTTATGGAGGTGGGAGAAGGTTTTAACTACCAGGTAAGCATCTGGACATTGCACCTCTCAGTCAAACGTATCATGCTAGTGAATCAGTAATAGTAACGAATGTAGCTGAGCAAGTACCCAGTAAAAAGACTTAATTTCAGTAAAATGTGGATGTTTAAGCTAATGTTCAGATCAGCTGTCTGTGGGAACGAACTTGCTATTGGATTGTAGCCTTGAGTCTCAATATGTTTAGATTAACAACTTTATTCCATATTATTCAACAGGAAACAAAGCTTAGCAGGAGAGGAGAGCCAGAGAAGGGACAGGGAAGCGACAGGTTACAACAGTTGTGAACTCAGCCAAACACAGTTGTGGCAGGGTGTAGCTGCTACATGAAGACATGTGTTAGACAAACTCTCCTTTGCAAACATAAGGACTGTATTTGTGACTAATTGTATAACAGGTTATTTTAGTTTCTGTTCTGTGGAAAGTGCAAAGCATTCCAATAAGGGTTTTTATGTAGAATTTATTTTATTTTTTTTCCGCACCCATGCTGTTGATTGCTAATTGTAATAGACTGATCATGACGCTGAATAAATGTGTCTTTTTTTTAAATGTGCTGTGTAAGTTAGTCTGATATAAGTCAATTGAATGCTATCCTAGCTATATGAATGCTGCAGTACCTGCATGTAACTAGACCAGGTATACCTCAGCAATAGTCCACTGCAGTGTCACTGGGCAGGAACAGTCGTTTGTGGGCCATGTCAGGACTCCTGAGCTGGGTCCTGAAGATTAATGCCAGAGGCTGTGTGTATTAGCAGCTTCACAGCTGTAACCACCAATGGAATCTGTAGATTTAGTTGTGCTGCCTCCGTGTAACCCTTGTAGACAGGACTTGGGTATCCTGTACTCCAGCTGCCACCGATGCAGCTGTTGGTGAATTACAGCTGCAAAGTTTGCTAGTGTAGATGGGTCCAGAGACTGTCTTACAGCAAACAAAAGGGGTTAATTCCTCGCATGGTGCATATACCCATGTAAATCCTTTCTCATCAAACAAGATTAACTTGCCTGGACAAAGTATATCAGGATTCTGCTCTATACAAGAGCAAAAGTCAGTTGATGTTGAGTAGCTAGGGCTGTAAACTGAAGTGTAATGGACCAGTCCCTGCCAGCCAGAACTTCCCATAAAACTGTCCCTGGGCTATCTCACAAAGTTAGGGGGATTAACTCTCATTGGCATGGATCTTCTGTCCAGTTAACCAAATCCTACTGGCTGGCAGAGTTTGGAACTAAAACTCCTTTTCAACTTTGGAAAAGGAAGAGCAATTTTAAAACCCAGCTCTAGCAGTGAGGGGGGTGGGGGCCTAGTTCTGCTGAGAAGCACACCCCAAATTCACAGCAAGCGGCAGGAGATACTAATGGAGGCCAGTCTAGTTGGCCATGAAATCTTACCTGTTATAAAGGAAAGCTGAGTGCATCCAGGGTTACTTTGAAAGCAAGCTGCACTTTTGTTTCTCGCAAAGCTATCCAGCTCAGATGCCTATGTTAAATGTTTCCACCAGCTAGACAGTGGCATCGTGACCATAAGTGTGGTAGAATCGTGACACTGGATCGGCTTGGGCCTCATGCTGGGAAAGTTGCACTGCATTTTTCTTTAACACAAGTGCTCAGCAAAAGGGTTGATTCTCAAATACAGCTGCCAGCTTTGAGAAACAGTTGCAGTTTCTCAGACTGCTGAAATCAGACTCTAATCTCTGCCTCTTCTAAGCACTGACTGGGTTCTGCAGAAGTTGTCTGAACGAACGGTCGCCTCTTGATATCTGAGGCATTTTCTGACTGATGCAGTGTGATTCCATTGCAGTTTTAAACCTGTGTATAAACATAGACATCCAACTGCTGTAACTGAATCTCCCTTTTTTTTGGTTTTAAACTGGTTGGTAACTAACCGTGCCTCAGCCTGTTTTAAAGGGGAACTGCAGAGGAAGAAACTGACCTTAGGCGATAGCCCCAAAATTTAAACAAGCTTCTACTGCTCCTCATTAGGAATATCAGATCTTTGCTGGCATGTGTAAGAGAGGGCTGGAGATGAGGTGGGATGAACAAGCCCTGTAATCTGAGGAACATTAAAATCTTACTGCCTGTGTTAAAGGTTTAAATTCCAACTGCTGAAGTAGTTGGGATAAAAACTCTGAACTGGCACCCCCTTCTGTTCTGAACCTCCAACACAGTGAAGATCTGAGCTTTCTAATGTAAATGGGTATAAAATCTCCGTTCTGCAGTTGCCCTCTAATGCAGACGAGTGCTGCTGCTGCTTCCTACAGCTGCCTAAAATTATAGCTTTAGTTTCCTTCTGTTTGCTGCGTTGCAGAACACGGGAGTTATTGAGAGCTCCCAGTTCTTATTCTTCTGTTATTTCAAATCAGAAGGCATTCACTTGTGATCTCAATTCTCTGATAAAGAGCAACTTAGCCCCATGGTAACTGTTTGAAGCAGGCCTGTCTCTAAATCATGTTGGCATATTTCTAACATCTCTTAAGCTGAATGATTATGAAGTGTATTAATGTGGAATGCAAAAAAAAAAAGTTTTAGTTCCGTTGGGTTTTATGTGGCTGAGTTTGCAATAGCAGGTGGATCCTAAACTTATTGAGGGAGACAAGAGACCTCAGGATTCATGGAGTATACTCTTGGCATGGCTTGATAACGTTGAGGACATGGTAGCATACCACAACAGAGGAAGGCACTCCAGGAGCCAAGAACTAAGTAGCTTAAAGATCCAGGAGACATGCAGATGTTGAGCTACTAGGAGCTGCTAGCAAGCATAGCACGAATGGCTTCGAGTTCAGACACTTCTACAGCTGAGAGAGAGTAGACACTTGTGTGTGGAGTCCAGTGTACACAGATAAGCCAGGTGCAGGCTCTGCACTCTAGGAGGGAGTGGAGTATCAGTGACCATCGAAGGAGGCAGACAAGAGTAAAGATCCTTGCTCTTAGGACTAGCAGTCAGATCCAGAAGGCAAGGTTTTATTACTGTGCTTGTAGGTAAGAACAGATTTTACTTATGTCCGTATGGTTTTGCCTGAAATTAATTTGTCAAGTACTTTGCTAAAGCTTTGTGTAATGAACCCAAGTAGTCAGGCTAGCTGTCTTGAAATCTACAAGATGGGCTGCTTTTTAAACTTGCCCGGTGCTGTAAGTGCAAGCACCAGATGGCTGGAATATAGTGACTTTAAATTACTCGGTCACTGGCCTGAAAGTAATGCTCGCCAACCTATTTGTGGCACGTTCATTCTCAAGTCACTGCCTCTCATTCTATTGCCATTATTATTGGAGCTGCTTAATGTTTACCCACTTGCTTAGCACTGCAGTCCAGATTCTGTAAACTGCCTTAGTGCACTGTCAGTGCCTTTCAGAGGGCACTCAAATTGGCCAGCAATTAACTCTTTAAATTGCAATGGGGTGGTCATGCAGGGTAGCTTTTAAATGTCCTGGGGAGCAGCTATGCTGGAGAATCTAATGTGTGCCTTCACTTTTATAGGAGGAAATGCCCAGTGCTAAGCCTGCCCTCTAAACTAGAGGACTCCATGTACGTCTGCAGTGGCTGCTTTTAAAAGGTGAGATCTGTGGGGGGTTTCTCATTGTAGGCCACTCTGTTCATGACTGCTGTTAATGCCTGGTATGTTTTGTTGGGAAAACTACCTCTGTTGGGCCTGGGGTAGATTTCAGTCCTCAAACAGGAATAAGGGATGTGGCTTTGTCTAGTGTGAAGCAATTTAGAAGCCCACGCAAGAAGCAGACCAACTAGGGATCCCAAATGACTTGCGGTAATGTCTGCTCTCTACTCACGTGTTCTCTCACTTCCTTGCAATACTTTCTCTTATCTAGCCGGAAGCCCAGTCGATGTCTCCGTGGCGAGTCGCAGAGCTGCTGTGTAGCTGTGTTCACTGGTTCATATTTGAACGCATCTTTTTAAATAAAGATTTTATATTTTTTTTACACTAAAGCTGTTGTGGCTGAAAGTTCTATTGTATTGCAGTAGCACCCCAAACCTCAGTCTTGACCTAGTACTCCATTGTGCAAGGTGCTGTACAGACGCACAACAAAGACCGTCCCTGCCCTAACAAGCTAAGTATGAAATGAGACACCGTCAATACAGAAAAGAGGAAGCAATGAGGCACTACTGGGTAACGTGAGACAGTAGCTGCTTGACCACTGCCAAGGTTTTGTAAACAAAGGAAAGACTGTGAGGTGCCCCTCCCAAGCAGGATGGGCAGCATGGGGGGGTGGGGAGCATGGCTTGACTGAAATTCTGACAAATGGGTGATAAAAGGCTGCCATCAGTAGGCAACGAGAGGTGGGAGCTGCCATCGCCATAGTGTATCCAGACAGGCTGAGAGTGGCCATGGAAGTGAAGGCAAGTAGTTTCTGTTTGATGGGAGGGAAAATGGGGACCCAGTGGAAGGATGCAGAGGTGACAGTCAAAGCAACAAGCTAGGACAATGACTTGTATAGCAGCATTTTGAATGGATGTGAGCAGGATGAGATCGCATTCGTCAAGGCCCCACAAAAGGATGTTGCAGTAATTGAGGTGCAAGATGAGAACCTGGATGAGAATTTTGCTGAGTGGATAGAGAAAAGTTCTTACGTAGCAGGAATCAGCATGATGTGAGGCTCTAGGGAGGGCTGAGGTGAAGATGATACCCAGGTTATGGGCTTGAGTGACGGAGGTATCCATAGTGATGGTGAGGTCGGTATTGTTCACCCTGAGCTTAGGCATTGCTGAACACCCATGAGATCTTGGACACATGCCGAGATGTTAATTTGGACAGAAGACCCCTCTGGTGTAGAAAGGCAGGTCTGTGAATCATCCACATAGAAGTGGTACTTGTGGATGAGATTGTGTGGAGCAGGAAGAGGGGGGACCAAGAATGCTGCCGTAGGAACCACCATAGAAAGCTGAGGGGGATGAGGCGAATCCTCCAAACCTGCTGAAGGAATGATTAGAGAGGGAGGAGCCAAGGGAAGACAAGATATTGAGAAGAGTACTACGCAAAGGGATCTGGAGGTCATGCTGGATCACAAGCTAAATATGAGACAACAGTGTAACGCTGTTGCAAAAAAAGCAAATATTCTGGGATGTATTAGCAAGAGTTTTGTAAACAAGACACGAGAAGTAATTCTGCTCTACTCCGTGCTGATTCGACCTCAACTGGAGTATTGTGTCCAGTTCTGGGCGCCACATTTCAGGAAAGGTGGACAAATTGGAGAAAGTCCAGAGAAGAGCAGCAAAAATGTTTAAAGGTCTAGAAAACATGACCTGTGAGGGAAGATTGAAAAAATTGGGTTTGTTTAGGCTGGAGAAGAGAAGGCTGAGAGGGGACATACCTTTTCAAGTACATAAAAAGGTGGTTACAAGGAGGAGGGAGAAAAATTGTTCTTATCCTCTGAGGATAGGACGAGAAGCAATGGACTTAAATTGCAGCAAGGGCGGTTTAGGTTGGACATTAGGAAAAATGCCCTGTCAGGCTGGAATCTCCGTCATTGGGGATTTTTTAAGAACAGGTTGGACAAACACCTGTCAGGGATGGTCTAGATCAGGGGTTCTCAAACTGGGGGTTGGGACCCTTCAGGGGGTTGCGAGGTCATTACATGGGGTTGTGAGCTGTCAACCTCCACCCCAAACCCTGCTTGCCTCCAGCATTTATAATGGTGTTAAATACATTAAAAAATGTGTTTAATTTATTAGGGGGGTCACACTCAGAGGTTGCGATGTGAAAGGGGGTCACCAGGATAAAAGTTTGAGACTCACTGGTCTAGATAATACTTAGTGCTGCCTTGAGTGCAGGGGACTGGACTGGACCTCTTGAGATCCCTTCCAGTTCTATGATTTTATGAGAGCGTTGAGTGGCTGTTGGGCAGAAGCTGGACTGGAGAGAGTCTAAGAGGGTTAGAACCCAGAGAGCGTGTTGGATGTACTCAGAGACACAAAGGGAGTTAAGAGGTGGACTCACCAACATGGGAGATGCTAAGAGCTTGTCTACTGATTAACACACATGTCCCAGCTCACTATTACTGAAATATTGCTTCCTTTCTCAGGTTACCGTATAATTATAAAATAAATCAATTGAAATATAAATGATGTACTTGCATTTCAGTGCATGGTATTCAGAGCAGTACAAACAAGTTATGTGAAACTTTAGTCTGTACTAACTTTGCTAGTGCTTTTTATGTAGCCTGTTGTAAAACTAGACAAAGACACCTCTACCTCGATATAATGTGACCCGATATAACACGGTAAAGCAGTGCTCCGGGGGGGGGGCTGCGCGCTCCAGCGGTTCAAAGCAACTTTGATATAACGTGGTTTCACCTATAATGCAGTAAGATTTTTTGGCTCCCCAGGACAGCGTTATATCGAGGTAGAGGTGTATCTAGATGAGTTGACATACTCCCTGGAAGACCTCTGTGGTCCCCTTGGTTGAGAACCACTGCCCTAGAGAGTTTGTCTGTAGCAGGAGGGGAGTGAGGCAGAGGTGTAGGCCAAGGAAGAGGCAAAAAGTGGGACAGCAGTGGGTGGGCTGAGCTGACTGGGCCAAGCAGAGGAGGGGATAGAAACCTAAGGGGTGGGGGGCATGTCATTCCAGTCTACATGGTCAGTCTCTTCTCAAAGGTTCTGTGCTGTTTCGGCCAAGTTTGAGTCATACCCCAGGTGCTCTCCAGTCCCGTGCGCCGTCACTGGCTTCTCACTGACACAGCATGATTTTAAACGAATTTAGAGAGACTTAGGCCTGGTCTACACTGGGGGAAGGGATCGATCTAAGTTCTGCAACTTCAGCTACGTGACTAACGTAGCTGAAGTCGACGTACTTAGATCTACTTACCGCAGTGTCTTCGCTGCGGTGAGTCGACTGCTGATGCTCCCCCCGTCGACTCCGCCTGTGTCTCTCACCCTGGTGGGGTACCAGAGTTGATGGGAGAGTGCTCGGTGGTCGATTTATCGCGTCTAGACTAGATGCGATAAATCGACCCCCACTGGATCGATTGCTACCCGTTGATCCTGCGGGCAATGTAGACAAGCCCTAAGGGACAAGCTTCTGAAAAGCTTTGATTGTCTCATGTTACTGACTAAATACATTGGTTGCTAGGCCGAGCAGCAAGACCCCACAAAGCCATGCTTACAATACCTCATTCCTCTTTCAGCAAGGGCTGCAGTAAATGTCTTGTTTCCCTAACCTCTTGCCCTGTGATGCCAGCAGAGGAATCTGTTCTATTCAGCTGCAGTGATGACTCCTGCATCCCAGCTGGGTTTGGGTCGATGCAGAGCCCTGGGGCCTTCATCTCAACGAATGAACAATTGGCATTTGAATCCACTGCATCATGAGTGGCAAGGGCAGCTGCTGCACAGGGCTCAGCTGGGCCCCCCCGCCTGCAGTCCTGGCCTGGCGGTGGAGCAAGCTGTTGCACCACTTCCTGGGGTGGGTCAGCTGGGTCTGTGACTGGAGTGCGAGTGTAACACTCCCTCGGTGGGAAGGGAGCGCCGGATGCTCTAAGTACAAGATCGGAAACAGTAAGGGCCTCCGCCCACAGGCTCTACTGGGCTTGAAACAGCCCTTGCTGGGCAATCACCTCCTTGTTCTGTCCCGCACAGCCCCCAACCCATCAGAGGGACCACAAGGGACATCTAGTCTAACCCCCTGCCAAGATTTAGGACTTGTGTCTAAACCATCCAGGACTGATGGCTATCCAGCCTCTTTTCAAAAACCTGTGAAGGAGATACCAGGACTTCCCGGGGCATCTGTTCCATTGTCCTACTGCTCACACAGTTAGGAAGTTTTTCCTGAGATTCAATCTAAATCTGCTGTCCTGCCCTCTGTGGCAAGAGAGAGAAAAATTTGTCCATCTTTTTAATGGCAGCCTTTCAAGTATTTGAAGACCGTTATCATGTCCCCTCCCCCTTAATCTCCTCTTTTCAAACTAAAGAGTTCCTTCAGCCTTTGCTCATATGACTGGCATTCCGTCCATTTTTTCATCTTTGTTGCTCGCTTCTGGATCCTTTCCAGTTTCTCCACATCCTGTCTATACAGTGGTGACCAGATTTGGACACAGTACTCCAGCTGAGGCCTCACCAGCGCCGAGTAGCGGGGTATCATCACCTCCCGTGACTTGCAGGCTATGCCTCTGTTAATACAACCCAAACTGCATTTGCTTTTTTTGGCAACAGCTATCGCATTCCTGACTCATGTTGAAGTTGTGATCCACCACAACTCCCAGATCCTTTTCAGCAGTGCTGCTGCCAAGCCAGTTATCCCCCATTCTGTATTTGTGCATTGGGTTTTTCTTCTCTAAGTGCAGCACCTTACCTTTCTCTTAGTTGAATTTCATTTTGTTGCCTATAGCCCAATTCTCCAATTTGTCAAGATCCCTTTGAATTTTAGCTCTATCCTCCTAAGTGTTTGCAAACCACCACCCCCCACCACCCATGTGTTGTCACCTGCAGATTTGATCAGCACTCTCTGTTCTTCTATCCAGGTCATTAATAAAGATGTTTAAAAACACCGGACCCAGAACATCCCTATGGAACCCACCTTGAGATGACCTTCCAATCTGACCATCCTTCCTAACTGTCAGGGTGGTGAAGCACTGGAATAAATTGCCTAGGGTGGTTGTAGAAACTCCATTATTGGGGATTTTTAAGAGCAGGTTGGACAAACACCTGTCAGGGATGGTCTAGATAATACTTAGTCCTGCCACGAGTGCAGGGAGCTGGAATAGACCTCTAGAGGTCCCTTCCAGTCAGTTCTGATGGGAGGGGGCAGTGTGAAAAGCTGGCTGCAGGGTGGCCATCAGTCCACTCCATTGTGGGGATGGAGAAGCCCAAGTGCTCTGCTTGCACTATAGAGATCCCGCAGTCCTCCAAGCTGATGTGCTGTCTCCTCTCGCCCCTGCACTGGGCTGGGTGCTCCATTGCGAATATGGGGAGGGGGTATTGTTCCAGGTTCGTTATCCCAA